TCCTTCATCAGCGCCCTCATCGCGCGTATGGACGCGTCTGAGAGCACGCTCTCGTCTGTGCCCATCCTCCCGCGAACCTTTGTGACCCAGGCACGTGCGCATCCACCAACAATGCCTCCGTGTTGATCCGACTAAGTTGCCGATTGACTCCGTCGTCTCTGGTCGGACTAGCCTCCTTCGGCACCTGTGACGTGCAGCAGTGTGACCTCGAGATGTGAAAGTTTATACCAACATAGATTAACACACCCACATAACCAACGCTTTTCACAAAGGTAATCTGACTTAGAAACATGATTTCCTTAATTCTCTCTCACAAGTGAAGTTATTTTTTTTTGTAAATCGAATAAGGATGTAAACTATGTACACTAAAAAGAAGATGTCGTAAAATAGTGATTATTAAACATCCGCATTCCACCTAATTTGCGCTGTGCTCCAGTTGCTTAGCTTACATGCGTTTCAAATTTTTGCCAGTCCTATGTTGCAGGTGTGGAGTGCAAACCATTCAGGTTACCTTAATTTGTGAGAAGTCTAAGTACAACAAATATTTTAATCAGAACTCAACTGAAAATATGTCAGTGACTGAAAACGTGCAGGTTACAGCGTGCTGAAATGTTGTCATGGTGACAGCAACATCACGAGTTTGGAGATTAACAACACTAAATGAAACTGATGGCTGAGGTTGTGTAATTCAAGGTCTCAATAAAACTGAGCCGTGACTATTGCAGTGGTCTTGTTAACGTGGGTTGCTTGTGTCAGCGGTCTAGTTACATCGGGTGACTCATACCATGACAGCGTAATTCAAGTGGTATGTTGAAATCTGCCATGTATACTTCAACTATAATAAGATCCCAAATTTATATGAAATTCAATTTCGAATAAAGGCCTTTTCGGTGGATACAGCGCTTCACTTGTATATGCGGACTTATTGGCAGCTCTAAAATAAAGTGCGGCGGTGCATAAAATTAAATTTTTTACCAGTTTAGCTAGGAAATGGCTCCTATGTGATAATGTATTAGCATCGTAATCAGCGTGTCATTCTTCTCAAAGTAACGAAACCATTGGCCTTTATCCTCCTCTGAACTTTCAAACTTCGTTGGTCATTTTTCTGAGAGCTTCAACAGACATTAACATTTATAAATGACATTGATTTTTGTGAGAAACATCCGTACAAACAAATAACCCAAGTCAGTAGTACAAAGGACTACAATTGGGAATTAATTTTTGGGTGGTCCATGTGTCACCACGTATCTCCCGTCGACCTCAATATTTCACCCACTTGATAATGTGACATAAGAATTGTACAAGTGTTTGAGTCTAGCTGAAGACGTCTCCAGTTACTCACGGTTCCGTACTCAGCTCTACCAGTCATAATTATTTAATGTATTCCCAATGAACTAGGAATACGTCTAATTGAGTTTCTGGTAATGCAAAGGCACAGCTGAGCATGCAAGGTACCAGCTGTGTTAATTAAATAAAAAGAAGGTTGAGAATAAACAGTTTTGGCATCATACCTCTATTGAAACTAAAAAATGACCAAATTACCACTTGGCGGAGAGGTAGTTCACCCTCTCGACCACAGCATCTTGCGGTGCAGAAGGTCGGGATCCCTTCTATGTGAGGAAGTATTACGATCCGTTGTGAAGGAGGCTTATCTTACATATCCAACGTGCGATCAAGTACTTAATAACACATGCATTTCTTTATGGAAGAGATTACTTTGTTCTGTTCCGTGTCTTTCATTACCCAAAGCCTATTTCTAGCTCACGAGTTAATATATAAATGTGCATAAAGACAAGGTAAATTAAAGGAATGAGATATCATTGGAGAGACTTCGGCAGCCTTGAAAAAAAAATATTTCAAGTTGTAATGACGTAAATGA